ATATATATATATATATATATTTATCATTATTATTATCACATAGGACTGATACAAACGTAAAAAATCAACACTTACATGATTGATATTATATTCAGCACCCTAATTTCAGAGTTGTGTAGACGAACTATTTGTAATTCATTTTTTCATAATTCTGTTTTATATATATATATATATATATATATATATATATATATATGATTAATGTGAGCAAAAGATTGTCACTTAGCAAAGTGAAGTGACCTGAAGCATCCCTACTCCAGAGTTTCGTAGGCGAACCAGTCCGTCCACTCTTCATGGTTTATCAAAAATAATCATAGACATATTTTTCCTGACCGGTAGCACAATTCCAGAGTTTTATGCGCGATGCAATCGTCAGATGAGGATTGAAAACTGACCGTTGCATAATTTGTCAGTTTTCAATCCTCATCTGACGATTTCATCGTGCATAAAACTCTGGAGTTGTGCTACCGGTCAGGAAGAATATGTCTATTTATTAATTTAAATTATAACTCTGTCATTGAGCACAAATTTATTAGTGCCAGCGTCCATAGGTTACACTCACACACACCCATATATCAATATATATATATATATATATATATATATATATATATTACATTATTCGAACTATTGTCCTCATCTCTGTTGCCATATTTATTACAACGTTTCCTCCGTTGTATGCTCCGGCCTTCTTCAGGTGGTTGGAATGTTTAACTGAACCCTTTATTTCGCTCACTGGGGTAGACTGTTCTAGTTCCACGTGCCATGTTTTTAATGGATGTCAGTTATCAGTTATCTCCTGTTAATTTTCCCTCTGAAAGTTTTCCACTGCCTTAACCGGGTATTGAACTCACACTCTTTGGGTCCTGTCACTGGATCTATCCACTGTGCCATGTGTCTATGACCAAGTGTGGTCGTCGGGTTGCAACGCGCCTGAGAACCTGACCAGTTCCCTCTACATATCTCGCCCCAGTTTCACCAAGACTTGCTCCTGTCATCCATCCACTATCACTGGATCTAACTAACGCCTTTATCCACTGTGCCATGTGTCTTTGAGGAGCGAAATAAAGGGTTCAGATCGACATTCCACCTGAAGAAGACCTGAGCGTACAACTGCCGAAACGTTGGGATAAATATGGCAACAAAGATGAGGATGATAGTTCGAGCAATGTAAATAATGTACATAATACCTCATCTCAGAAATATAGACATAAACATATAAATATATATGATTTTAAAAATATATATATATATATATATATATATATATATATATATATATATAGTTTATGCAAATTTAGGTAATCCGTATGGGTAGACCTGAGGAGGATGATATCCAGAGCTCAATGTAAAAATTCAGAGCAGATATGTTTGAATAAAAAGACAGACCACGTTAAGATTCCATGTAATAAGCTATTTCACCATAACCCCTTTAACAGGGTTCTGGATCATCAGACTTTACTTCCAAAAGCTGAAATGAAAAATGAAAAGAAATTCACACGTTTTTTACGGACCTCATCAAGTATACGCAAAGTTAACGGAGTGAGGAAGTGAGGTGGGAGAGAGGATATGAGTGTGTCATATGTATCATTTTAGTTTCCTATTTTAACCCCAGTGTGTCGGCTGGATGTTGCTCAAATCTAACGCGTCTCGTCTCTAGATAAAGGTGGTTAAGGGGTGAGCGATAAGGGCTACATTAAGGAAGACGCGTTACAACAGCCCCAATAAATTACACGACAGGTTTCATTCAAATTCCTAGACGCTGTCAGTTCGCGTTACTTTAACGTGCATATTTGGGAGGTTAAGGTTTGATAAATATCTAAAATTTTAAAACAATCTACGAAGAAATTAATTTGAAATTCGGTGGAGTTTTGGGTATTTCCTATGAAGCAGTCGATTGGAACGATCCATAGACAGAACATTTCTTTTCATTTTTCAAATATATATATATATATATATATATATATATATATATGAACAAGCAACTAGATATAATGCATTAGTATTTAAAATGCTTTGGGCTATCATAAACCAATTTCAAACAAAGGTCATGTTTTAAAATCATAAATTGCACGTCATTGAGAAAATTTCATTCAATTTAGGAACAAATATATTAAGTATATTTGATAAATAAAATAAAGTTTAATTTTAAAATTACACACACACTCGCACGCACACACACACACACACACACACACATATATATATATATATAGAAAAGGGAACATAGAAGTCAACACTTAGAGGCGACAGACTGTTTCATGCTATATGCAATCGGTGGCCTGACGATTGTATATAGTATGAAACAGCTGGTCGCCTCTAAGTGTTGACTTCTATGTTCACTTTTATATTTACACACGCTCTATCTCTGATATTGAGCACTTTATCCCATAAATATAGCACATCTTAAGATTATATTTCTTCATATATATATATATATATATATATATATATATATATATATATATATATATATATATATATATATGTTCTCTACAGTAGCATATCTCGGGTTTCCTGCAAAATTTAATCTTCCAACGATTGCATTGTGGATGAAACTCCGAGCTGTGCTAATGGTCAGAAAAATATGTATATATACTAATATATAGTTTCTAGCTCTGCTATATTGCATCGAGCACTATTTTTTTAAAACCAGCACTCAATGTCCGATAAAGATAATTTATATTTATATATATATTTATGTAAATATCATATATATATATATATATATATATATATATATATATATATATAGATAGATAGATAGATAGATAGATAGATAGATAGATAGATCATATATATATATATATATATATATATATATATATATATATATATATATACACACATTTTATATATATATATATGTATATATATAAAGGGTGTTTCATTCAGACGGATTATCTGTAAGGGTGTTTAGTTAAGACGGATCAAAGCAGTAAATAAAGCACTGTTTTTGCTGTAAATTTATTTATTTCTCGTCTGGATCATGTTATTTATGTCATGGCAATTATGAGTGAAAAATAATATCGGCTAAATGTCCGCCAAATCTGAAAGAAAAAGAAAAAAAATCATTAGACGCTTAAACTTCAAATTTAAAATCCGTTCTAGATATTAGAACACCCTTATATATATATATATATATATATATATATATATATATATATATATATATATATATATTATCATTATATATATGTATATATATATATATATATTATCATTATATATATATATATATATATATATATATATGTACATTGAGATCAACACTCAGCGGCGACAGTTTAATTCATGATTAAACACAATCATCAGACCACATAAATATAGTATACCTAAAGCCCTATTTATCATATATATATATATATATATATATATATATATATTATAATCATTTTTTAAAATATATGATTCCTTCGCTACATAAGAATCTGATGTTTCAAAAACGGGAGACAAGAACCTCAATATAATTATTAAAATTAAATTGAATTAAATTATCAAGCACCTGTTTCATCCTCCAGCGAAAATTTTAGAATTTCGCTTGAGGATGAAACAGGGCTTGATACTTTAATTCTATTTAATTTTAATAATTATATTGAGGTTCTTGGCTCTCGTTTTTGAAACATGAGATCTCTTATGTAGCGAATATCATTTTTTTTTTTTTAAATAATTACAATTTAAGCTCTACTTCTGTATGGAGCACTGTTTTTTAAGAATAAAAGCAAAAATACTAAAGAACTCCGTATTATTTACCTAACGTTTTCTTTCCTATTTTTCTGCATATCTGCACACACACACACAAACACACACACACACACACATACATATATATATATATATATATATATATATATATATATATATATATTCCTAATATATAAAACGCATAACGGGCTACCACATTATGTCGTGACATTGAAACTAATTCACTAGATAACGTAAAAGTAAGTGTAAAAACTAACTATACATTTAACAAAAGAATATATTTCTTTGAAAATAGCTTATGAAAGCCGGAATCTCTTATTACTTGTGTAATATTTGCACAAACTCGAATAATAAATCATCTGTAAAAAAAAATCATAATTGCCATTAATTTTCAAAATATATTATAAAACTTCATTTTATTTTATTTTTTTTCGAAACTACTTTTTTAAATTTTCTGCAAAAAGTCTTATATGCGGAAAAAGTCTATCGGTATACTTCCAGAAAATATAACAGCCCAAAAAATTATGCATTCAAAATCAAAACAAAAAACATTTACAATCATATAATAGATATCAAAAAATATACATTTCATAAGAGGATCTGACTAAGAAAAAAAAATAGAACCAAGATTTTAAAACATTTCTAGGTATCTCCAAAAATTCGCTTCACCCTAAAATACTAACCATCAATTAAAGTTACACCACTACTAACCATGGGTATATCATACCCGATTTTGAAAATATCAAAAAAAAATATTAAATATAAATCTTTATTTGAAATATTTTATATGCAGGCACTTCAAACTTTGTACATTGAGTTAACATTAATAGGAACTGAAAAACATTATTTAGGTAAGAAAATCAAGTACTGAAAATTGTAATTAAATATAGGAAAATTTGCGCTGGGTACTATATATCCATGGTTAGTGTTCTAGGGTTAAAATGATGGCTAAATCAGGGAAACAGCCACAAACATAATAAAAAGAAAATGTTATCGACAAAATTTTTGAGTTACTGTTAAGTGAGAAAGATCAAAGGATTTTTTTTTATATACAATTTTTTTTTTTTTTCAGTTTTAAAACTCTGGAAATTTTTAGTTTGAATTTCTGGTATGAAGAAATATTATTTACACATCTTATATTCGGACGTCCAGTTTTATCCCCTTTACTTACATTACCCAAACATCAGGCTGTCAATAAATCACCCACCACCTCAAAAAAAAAAAAAAAAAAAAAAACCTCCCTCCGTGTTAAATTTTTTTCTGTAATATTTTAAGCTAAAAGTGCCTTACGTCTTCCATATCGCGTTGAAACACCAGTCCTCACACGATCACCGAAGTTAAGCAACGTCGAGCCTTGTCAGTACTTACATGGGTAACCACTTCGGAATACCGGGTGGTGTAATGGATAACGGCACGGAGTTGTAAATCGGCGTGCCGAGTTCCAATTCAAGTCGGGTTCGTTATATTACGTGCAACCACCCTTGGGAAAAGTATGAATCCACCTGTTCTCCCCCCACCGATTTAATTATCAGTAAAATCATTATCTCCAAGACTATTCCTACAATCTAAAAATATTTTCCGGCTTTAAATAACCTTCATAATCTGTAAAAAAAAAAAAAACAATCAATCATAAACTAAAAATAAATTTCAATACACATTAATTAAATTTAAAATCAGCTAACTTTACTTAAATAACACTTTAGAGAAGTATATTTTATTTTTGAAAGAGGTTTTAATAAAGAGAATTATTTTATGTTGACAGATCTGTCAATATGGACGAATTTATAGATTTTACTTATAAAAGTAGGCGGACAAATTACATTCCTTGGTTTCTCCATGTCTAACCTTCACGGCAAGGACTCGCTATGCTACTTATATAGCAGCAAACCGCCCACATTCTCTCCGTATTCCATCGATGAGAATTAGTTTCTACCTGAACAGGTTCTGCCTGCGAACCGCTGTTCTATGTGAAACAGACTCCCAAGAATGTGTTTCCCCGATCACTACAATCTTAGCCTGTTCAAGTCTGGAGTTAACCGTTATCTTCCCTTCCTATCCATATAAACTACCCCTTAACGTAACCCTCTACCTCGAGTGGCACCAGGCCTTGTACAGGGCGAAACTTACTGCAAAAAATAAAAAGTAAAAAAAAAAAAAATTATTCCAGTCAATCTAAATTCGGTTTGAAAAACACGGAACTTAAATTTAATCTATGAGCTTGGAACTAAAACTAAAGTTATAGCTTCACTGTTGATTTTTAAGAGAATATCAAACTTAAGTATCGGTCGCTTATTTTTATAGGAGGTACCTACATCTGACTTAGTATTGACTTTCTAAGTGAGGTTTAGGTGTGGCACATGGCCGAAAGTATAGGGTACCCGGTAAGGACCGAACTCAATATTCAATTGCAGTCTCAGCGAGACCAGTTTGCTAACCATTGCACCACGCCGAGACACCCAACAACCGACTTAGTATCTGGACATTTAACATCTTATTGAGCGCCCCGTTTAGTTTTTCTTTTTGGTATCTATGTAAGTATTATAATGTTTATACATATTCAAATATTGGGTTGTCAGATAAATTCGTTCACATTTTTACAATGTTACTTGAATTAAAACGCAAAATATTTTTGCCGTAGTGTTGAATGTTTTTTTTTTTTTTGTATTCTTCTTCGACAACTTTTATAATTTTATATTACTGACGGATTTATTAAAATAGTTGATCAATAATAGGAGAAAAATAAATAGTAAAAATGATCGAATTTAAGCGTCGACCCAGTAGAATAAAGCATGTATGTTCAGATATGCATATATATATATATATATATATATAGTGTTTAAGCCTAGTGTTTCAACCTAGTGTTTATACATATATGTATATATATAAACTAGTGTTTAAGCCTTTTTTTTATATATATATATATATATATATATATATATGAATATTCAGTACGATGCATACACACACACACTCGTATATAAATGTATCCATATCTCACCTGAGATTGATATTTAAGTGCTTAACAGAGCAATATATATATAAATATATATATATATATATATATATATATAAATAAATACATACACGCAGGCCTGCATGTATATATATATATATATATATATATATATATATATATATATATATACAAGCATGTTTCGTTGAATCTGACAAACAAGGAAAAAATTCATATATATATATATATATATATACGTTATATACACATGAATTTTATATATATATATATATATATATATATAAGAAATATTTTCGTGTAACGTCCTTTGCGACCTTTATCGCAATAAAGTCATATTTTTCGCTGATGTGTTAAAGATATAAACAAAAAATACAAATGACATCGGCTACACTACATACCCATAACACATATTAAAAAAATGAATATAAAATTAAAATTCTCAACGTCGCCTTTCCTTGACGCGCATGTGTAGTCGCATCAAAGTCAACATCAATTGAGTCAAATGATGTCCTAAAGAACGAAATACGTTACAGGAAAAATTGTTTCCACTTCCTCAAAGATTTTCATAAAATTGTTAGTTATATATAAAAAAAATGTATATATCGTATTCCCATATATATATATATATATATATATATATATATATATATATATTAAATATATATATATATTTAATATATATATTATATATCAATAAGAACACCGGATTATATATCTTCAATTTTTTCTTTCTTTTACTATAATATATATATATATATATATATATATATATATATATATATATATATATCAATAAGAACACCGGATTGTATATCTTCTTATTGTTCTTTCTTTTTACTATAATATATATATATATATATATATATATATATATATATATATATATATATATATATATATATATATATCAATAAGAACACCGGATTATATATCTTACTGTTATTTCTTTTTTACTATATATATATATATATATATATATATATTGTGTGTATTTAGGCAGCATATTTTCATTTATACACGTTTCATTAAATATGTAAACAATGACAGACTATCATCACTGTCGTGTCCGTATAATGTTTAATATGTTTGTGATTTACATCTTTGATAATGGCTTAAGTAAGCCGAAAGCTTAGATTATATTAAAAAAATATGGATCAATATTGTGAATTTCTTCTTCGTTTAATGATAATGTTATCAAACTTATCAGATTTTACGAACAAATTTTACATAAAATAAATAGACAACACTTGTCTATATTATTTAATGAAACGTATATATATATATATATATATATATATATATATATATATATATATATATATATATATGCCAGGAGAGCGAGGGAAGGTATAATTGATCGATACAGATAATGTGAAAATAAATATCAATTGTGTGTGGTGATTGACAATATGTCTACCAATGATGTGACGAACGCCTAATACGGGAAACTGACAGACCCAATATAGTGTTTATATCTATAATCGATCTTTCCCCAATATTGAGAATTCATTTTCTATAAATATAAAAATTGTAATATATATATATATATTTAACACATTCTCTATAAATATAAAAATTGTAATATATATATATATATGTATATATATTACTTTTTTTTATATTTATAGGGAATTAGTTCTCCTATATATATATATATATATATATATATATATATATTCATTCAAGCATGTTCTTTTTCCGCACTTCCCGCCTGTAGAACTCCTTCCGAATAATATAGACATATGAAGTCGATTTTTATAATATTCCTTTCTAGTTCTCTTATCAACTTCTTCATGTTAACTTGAAATTCCTCAAGGAAGGTGCCGTATTTTTCCTTATCCCACTACACACATGCATATATGTATATGTGTGTGTGCGCGTTTGTGTGTGTGTATTCAGACAGGTTTGGTTAAATAACTTAGACATATCATGTCGATTTATTTTGGTTGCGACCCTTTCAAGTTGGCGGATTAATATCTTGCCAGCCTTAGAAAATTGATTAAGAACAATACCATCATTTTCTTTCAAATAGTTTTTGTTTTCACAAGTACTTTCAATCTCATTTGAGAGCATCTTCGAGCGGTTAAATTGTCTGTAAATGTATATATATATATATATATATATATATATATATATATATATATATATGTATTAAAAATTTATATATATATATACACGTTCTTATTAATATGTATGTATTTATTAAAATTTGTTATATTTTTACTTTGTTTGTATTTGTTTTTTTCTTGCTTATTTTGTTATTTGGAAGGGTTTCAAGTAAGATGATAATGCCTCTAGGACTCATGTGGTTACATGGAGTGAAAGTGAATGAGAGGAAAAGGAACAGGATTTAGGGAGACACAGGATGGCGATTGACGTTGCATTTAATTTTTTGAAGATTGTACTTATCAGGGAAGCAAGTAAACGGAAGGGAGTTCTACAGGCGGGAAGTGCGGAAAAAGAAACTATTAGAATAGAACTGACGGCTGCATCTAGTTCGTTGAAGAGTAAAACAATGAGACCTAATTGCCAACCTAGTAGCACGCTTAAATTAATATTGTCGAGGCACTAAGAGGGGAAAACTCATTCGAACATTTGCCATGAAAATATTTGTGGGGGAAGAGAGACGGAAGCTGCGTCACGTCGGTGAGAAAAAGTCGAGATGCTAAGTCAAGATCGATTACATGAGAGACCTTTCTTAGGCACTTCTACGTGATGTAATGGTTAACATGCTTGTCTCGCTCGAAAATATTACGACTGAGTAGTCAGTTCGATCTTTACTGGGTGACCCATACTTTCGGCATTGTGCCACATCTAAGATACGCTTAGAAAATTACCATTACAGACCCTTCTTTGAATTTTGTCAAGAATCTCACGATATATCGTAGGAGCACTAAACTAGATATGGTAGCAATATTCTATGCTCGGAGGAATGGTGCAGATTTATAAATGTGCAAGAGGGATTCTGACGAAAAAAATTATCTGGCACGAAGACAGTCAATCAATGTTCCTATTTTATTTCCGGAAAGTTAAACACTTTTTGAATAAGGGAAAAATGTCGAAAGGAACATGAATTAAGGTATCGCCTGTAATTAAGCGAGAATTTTCTTCGAGGGAAATAAAAACAGTCCCGACAGAAAAAAAAAGAAAATGTTTGAAAAGTTTCTCAGCTTTATGAGACTCATTATATTTTAATTTTTTAAGACATTAAAAAAACGCGTCATTTACGAATAAACTACAGTTAGTTTTTTCAAAATATGTTACTATTCTTTATTAGGGAAAGGAAAAATTAACATGCATATAAGAATTTGTGTTGCTATTAACAGAGATCAGATACGTTTTAGAATATACATAAATACATACATATATACACACGCATATATATATATATATATATATATATATATATATATATATACACATATACA